ATCATGTGAGCATCCGACTCGATTAACAACCCAAATATTTAATGAAGTGAACCGACCATGGGGGAGGTCAAAACCCAGGTTCCTCGACTTTGCACTGGCAAGAAACTGAAGCTGCAACATGGAGGTAGTGGGGGGGGGGCTTATGGCAGACATCTGTGAACTTTGGGTGACGCTGTAAAATGAGGAAAGACCAATATATTTGGAGGTAACAAAGATCACCATACTGAAAGCTGCCGCCTTCTCAATCTGATGTACAGTCTCGAAACTTCCAACCCTTCAAAGCGCCATGAAAAGATTCTGGACACCACTCAGCAGCGCTCTCTGCGGCGAACATTCTGAAAGTATGACTCTTCCATCAAATGAAGAATGAAGCGATCTTGAAGGTGACATTCTGAGCGACCTCAGAATGTTGCCCGAAGAAATCAGGGGCCACTGTTGGTCGTGATGTGGCAGAATCATCCGGAGATAGATTTGAGACCCATCCAAAACCATTCTCCAATGCGAAGTAAAAGGTGACAACAACCCTGTCAGAGTCTAGCATCGCATCCTAATGCATCTGCTAGAGGAAAAGCTAGCTAACTGCTTGCAGGAGGAATATGAGCTTCGCCATAGCAACCAACGTCGTCTAATTCATTTTAAGAAGCCAAAGAGTCAGACATCAATAATCTGGGTACTCGATCTTAGACTCTGATACCTCAGTTGACCATGAGAACAGCAACTGTGTTCTAAAAGTGTAGTGGTGTCAAGGAATAAAGGCGTAACATGATGTTCAAGACCGTCAGATTGATTAACGCTCTATAGAAGTGAGAAGTCTTGCCTCTCGATGGTTCAGTCAGCAGAATATACGTGATTAGATTTTTCCTCCTTCATTAGGTGACCACGGGGCGTAGAAGAAGAATCTTCTTCAAAAGCTGCGAAACCTGCTTGAAGCACAAGTGGTCACGATAAGTGGAATGTCTTTTTCCAATGCAGTTAATCCTTTAAATACATCTTGTTCGTTGGATATGATCAATCTAGGACGAGGAAAGTTATTTGACTTACCGCATCCGGATGAAGATGACAATCAAAAGCAAAATGAAACCAATCTATCGATGATTTGGCGTCCTACATCGTTTATTTTACACGTGATTCGTCATTTTCATATTTTCCTCCAATTTGGTTGTAAAATTTGTTTTCGCCAAGCTACGTTACCCCAGATCAAAAAAATAAATCGACTTCATCACCAGCTCTAATGCTTCAGCCAATTTCTTCTATCATTATCCATTATTTTCACAGCCGTTAATCCTTCTGGGCTGTGAAGGCTGCAATTTCAAGAGGTTTTTTCTATTGTCCCGCTGTCCATAAGTTGGGCAACCTGCATGCCTCAAAGTACCAGAAATATTTGACCCTCTGTTCTTAGTTTAAACATATGCTCAGTAAACTGCAAATAGATTCACAACGCTGAATCTCTTCAAAAATCCGCGTGGAAGGGGGACGGTTGGTAGCCTGGAGGATGAATGACTCAGGTACAGTGTCACTGTAGCATTATTGTGCCTTGGCATTGGTTCACATAGCTTTCCCCACCCCACTGTGTTAATCCCCCTTGAAACTTTACACCATACATAATCCATAAGAAGTGGTGAGCTCTAAAACCGGTTGAAATAAAAGTACACGTATAAATCTGACCAGATTAAAATTCATCGCGTTTGTCTAAACCAGATGATCTATCCATTCGTTTCAAAGTAACGCTTCAATCATTCATTGATCTACGTACGGGCAACAGTTTCAAGGAATTTTCCCGTGGTCTTGGTCCTTCACCGGCAGCATATACTTAACGGACAAATTCTAAAGCACGACGGTTCCAGGATCTCGTTGCACCTGAACTGTTTAACCCCCAGGGAACCATTTCTCCGTATGCAACGCGGATTTGCTATGAGATTCAGCCTTTTAGAAGCGGAAAGAAGCAAATTGGGCTCTGGAAACGAATGGATGGAAAATTTGAT